TGATAACCGACAAGTTGAGTAGAATTTTGGATGGATTTGTCTTGATAATTGGAAAATTGGCCAGATTGAGGAGCAGTTATTTGTATGGATTCGTCTTGATTACTAGAAAATTGATTAGGCTGAAGCGTAGAATATTGGCCGAATTGAAGAGCAGGAACTTGTGTGGATTCGTCTTGATAGCCGGCAAGTTGAGTAGAATTTTGGATGGGTTTGACTTGATAATTGGAAAATTGGCCAGATTGAGGCGCAGTAATTTGTGTGGATTCATCTTGATAATTGGAAAATTGATTAGGCTGAAGCGTAGAATTTTGGACGAATCTGTCTTGAAGTTGGCCAAGTTGAAGAGCAGGAACTTGTGTGGATTCGTCTTGATAACCGACAAGTTGAGTAGAATTTTGGATGGATTTGTCTTGATAATTGGAAAATTGGCCAGATTGAGGAGCAGTTATTTGTATGGATTCGTCTTGATTACTAGAAAATTGATTAGGCTGAAGCGTAGAATATTGGCCGAATTGAAGAGCAGGAACTTGTGTGGATTCGTCTTGATAGCCGGCAAGTTGAGTAGAATTTTGGATGGGTTTGACTTGATAATTGGAAAATTGGCCAGATTGAGGAGCAGTAATTTGTGTGGATTCATCTTGATAATTAGAAAATTGATTAGGCTGAAGCGTAGAATTTTGGACGAATTTGCCATGAAATTGGCCAAGTTGAAGAGCAGGAACTTGTGTGAATTCGTCTTGATAGCCGGCAAGTTGAGTAGAATTTTGGATGGATTTATCTCGACAATTGGAAAATTGGCCAGATTGAGGAGCAGAAGTTTGTGTGGATTCGTCTGCAAGTTGATCCAACTGAAGAGCAAAATTTTCGTTTTGGTAGGATTTGCGTAAGTTTTTATAGTGGACTTCAGAAGGTTTAAGTGGCAAAGACTTTTTTATTTCGTTCGAAAACTTTTTGTAGTTCTCTTTTTCGTGTTTAGGTAACCTTTTCCATTCATTGCTAGCAAGACGAGAAATGTCACGAGCGTCACCTAATTTACGATGCGACTTTTTCCATTTTGCTACGGAGCATGCTCGAAATATTAAAAATCCATTCGGCGCTTTACTTTTGTCCTCGCCATTTCTTTTCTTTCTTAAAAAATATTCCTTTGGAAGGTAGGGAGTGAATGAAGATTTAATTGACATTTAAATTTAATGATCTGATGTTAAGAGCTAAAAGGAGATTATTTCCTAAGACTAGATAAAAAAACAACAAGCTTCTTAAATACTTGTAGTTTGACATTTATCTAAAGTAAAATGTAGTTGACTGAACATGATGCAAACGAACCCCATAAAATTGTATATTCTATTTGTCCAAATGCATTCATATTGAGTAAATTTGCAATATTTGTTTCAAATACAGTCTCACGTAAGGCAGCATATGCTGTCCAAAGAAATTTATATTTGCAGTTTACAATTGAAAAAATTGAGCTAAAAAAGGGAATAACGTAAATGCTTAATGTTAAATGTAAATGCCTTTCCCTATCAAAAACTGGAAGAGGAACTAATTGGTGAAATTAAATGCAAATGCACCGCGTTTAAATGGTCATTAAATGTTTATTAAATGTTTAAACTCGAATCAACAATAATGCGTTCTGATATTATAAGCGTTGAATTAGAAAATTATACTTTATCTAAAAATAGAATTAGTTGAGAATTAAAATACATGTCAAATTTTGCTAATTTGTGGGTTTCGAAGTTAAGATTGATTACTAAATTTGTCTTAGCCAAGGTACGATGTTAACCGAGCGTTTTGTAAAACAAATTTCGCGTTAGATATCTCGCCTTTGAGAATGCAGTTTCGATTAATCATAAATTGATTATCGTTATCGTTTTTCTTGCATGTATATAGAAGTTGATTAGATGAAAATTCAAAATTTAAGGGAACAGATAAAAATTCAAAGTTTAAGGGAACTTAAATAAGATAAAAAAATTTGAAACCATAATAATTCGAAGGAAAAAATTACTTTCAAAGTTTTCTTTATAAGTGGACAGAGATAAAATTCAGACTTACAATCAGACTTACAAAAAACATTTCTTCCTCTAGACACATCACTTATATATACAAACATACCATAATATTATCTAAATTAGACAAGAAAAGAAAGTAAATAACGAAGATTCTTCTTATTTTCCAAAATACTTTATCTAGAAACAATACAATACAAGTTTATTCCGCTTCGACAAAAAACTTTGTTATTTTTAGTGATGGCGGATTTGTGTGCATGTAATATGCATCGACTAACAATTTTCATTGGCTAACAATGTCTCTAACGCTAGCCAATGATCTGTTTTCGGAAATGTCAAATGTCATACCAAATCATCATCATTATCGTTATTACATGTATTATCATTAAGATTATTTTATTATCGAAAAAGGAAATTCTTCATTCAGAATTATATAATGCGGAACCAAAATGAAAATGTTGTCATTTTTATTTTTTGTTTTATATATTAAAAAAAATAATGCACCATTATTGTTCCATTTCAGGTCAGGTTAGCGTAATTTATGCGTTACGTAATACCGGTAGAATAAATGTGCATCAGTAAAAAATGTACATTTAGAGAGTTATTTTTAGAGCTCGTGAGCAACCCAAAAAATGTGCTTAGGAATATATCACTGACAAATAATGTTTAAAGCTGACTAGAATGCGTCGGCGCATAGCCGGCTAGTTGATTCAGTCGAGCTAATTTCTTCATTGCGGTGCAAGTCGATTTCGAAAAATTTCAAAGTTAGGAAACGTAATAAAAAGTCAACTATGGCTTAAAATTAACGTGTTGATTAATGATAAGGAATATTACTTGAGTCGACTAGACGAAATACCAACTAGTCGCGCTGTTTTGTATTGTCGCTTGAAACAGATTATATTGCTAACATTTTTTGAGGTAAAAATGTATAATACGTGTATATGCTTTTTTATAAAGGTTGATATATTGAAAAAATCTAAGAACCTGCTCTTTACTCATGCTGAAAACTATATAATGAATGATATATGATACAATTACGCAATGAAATTCTAAAGCATGTTACTTTAATGAAGCTCATGAATAAAAAATATTTGTGTTTGAATTTAAATTTATATAAAAAATATTTGTATTTGAATTTAAATTTATATAAAAATTACTGGCAAAAGTTTTATCATTCTGAATGGTTTGATATAATATTCCTTTATTATTTGAGATTTGCGAAGCTCATTTTGTTGATATTCTTTCCAAGAATTCTTCAAAATAAAAATGAATGGATTTACAGCCAAACTGATCATTAAAAAATCTGGTCAAATAATCCTCTTTTAATATTTGGTAACATTTCCAATTACTGCTAACAGAAATGAGGAATGTTACGAGTGTTGACTACTGGAAGATTTAACTCTCTGATTTCTGCTATGATGTATGTTAAAAATATTAAAAAATTGTACGTGCTTTACGTTGGCATTCGCCGTTTCTTTTGTATTTTAAAAATATTCAATTATAAAATAGAAGGAAATGAAGACATAAAAAGTTTGAGCATTAGAAATTAACTTATTAACTGACTTGATAAGTTCAAGAATCGAGATAAAAAACTAAAATTTATTTCGAAAGCAGGCCTTTTAAACTTTTTAATTATACATCAATTAATAAAAATCTCGCCATTACCAATTGTCGTCTTTGTTAGTTGCAGATTCGAACGATCTACATGTATAAGTAAAATAATGATTTAAAATTTATCTCATTTAAATAGAGTGTCTTTCATTATTTTAATGAGTTTTATAATGAAAATTTAATAAAGTAATTTCGAATATTAATTAGGTTACTTTACGATAAAAGACCTAAATGTGTTTTCATCACAAAATTTTGATTTCATAAATGTGCACGAACAGTTGGAGTATTGTATTAGTGTCCAGTTTTCTGCAAATGCAGAATTTGCAGGATCTGTACGGTTTATAACGTGATTTGTTTTGCATGATGAGATGATGTGATTTTACAATTTACATTATAAAAATAATCTATATGAAGTATTTTATATAATTTAAAAATGTTTAATGATAAATGCATGCATAATCCAAAGAATTTATTGTAAAATTAGTTTTAAAACAAATTTAAAAGATTTAAAACCTGGGACGCGATATCTCGACAAGCAATGGTCCAATTTGGACAAAAACAAATCTATTCAATCCATCTAGATAAAATAAAAACAATGGTTCTATTTTTATCTAATTGAACCATTGGATGTTGAGATAGCGTGTTCCCAAAGTTACAAAAATTGTTAAATTTGTCATCAGATGTTTGGAAAAATGCAGTAAATTCGACACTCTGTGAATGCACACATACAGTGGTGAGCAAAAAATTGTGGAAAAATTTTATATAATTTTTTTTATATATATAGATTTATTAAAAATTACTATCAAATTTAGATATAATTAATCAAACTTTAAATCTCAAGACTCAATTATACTTCACTCATATATTTTTAATATAATCTCTTTCTCAAGAAAATAATCCAAAGTATATAAGCCATCAGACTAAAAAATTTCTTTAAAAAAAGATTTCAACCATGATGGATTGACTATCTAATAACTCTAACCTTAATCCTATTAAAAACTTGTAGAATATAGTTAAATAGAATATAGAAAAGAGAAAATCATAAAATTTGAAAGATTTAGAAATGTTTATAATAAAAAAATAAGAGTTAATTAATAATAAAATCCACAAAAATTTGATTAGTTCAATAAAAATAAGATGTAAGAAGATTATTAAGACAAATAGTAAAAGAATAACTATTAATTTTTTTATTATATAAATCTTATATTATTATTCTATCAAATAAAAAAAGCTTAGTAAAAAATAATTATTAATCATCAAGAAAAATCTTGTGAAATAATTAATAATTCCAAAATTTTTTGCTCACCACTGTATGTACTAATTAATCAAACCTAACCTATGCCAGGTGTTTTAGTAAAAATTAATAGCAAAGATTTTTATTACGATAATCTATTTATGATAACCAAATTATTGAATCATACAGACGGTATCGTGTATTTTTTTTGAAGTTCAAAATTGGATGATTTTTAAATGTCAAGTTTATTTTATTAAAAATAACTTACATTTTTTGAAATTGTGCTTTTTGTCAAGTGATCGCGTGCATTTTTAGTTGCAATTTATGTTTAAAAGTTTAGGCATAATCGAGTTGAAAAAGGATTCGACGTTAAATCTAGCGCAAAAACAACAATAAAATTTGATATAAATATGACAAATGTATTTCTATGAAAGTTAGTTTATAACAAAGCCAATATAAAACAAAAATATTTTTTTTTATAGGCCAATAAACCTTTATATTGGATTTTATCAAATGTCAAAAATGATCGGTCAGCTTAGAACGCAATATCTCGACATTTAGTGAGCGAAAATACTACAATTCAATCAATTTGTCTCATCGTAATGCTAATATTTTTGCTCGAATCACCCGTCGAGAAATTGTCATTTTTGTTGATCATATATCAAAAATAGAAGTTGGACATTTTAGAATGTACCGGTACCACCAACTTACATTCAACCCAATACAAATAATAAATAACAAACATGTGTATGGTGTGAATCCACTGTATGTTCCCCAACCGACTAACTCCCGTCTAATCGATTGATGCTTAGATATTACCGTCACACATAAATATCCCCATATCCATGTTTTTCTACTAATTATTTCTAAAGTTTATATCATTTTAAAGCCCATGACTTATATTTTTAGACAAATGATTCCCAGTTGTGAGAGACTTAAAGTGAAAAGACCATTTTGATTTTAAAGGAAAAATTTTTTTCCCACGCTTTACATATATAAAATTGAAATTTCAAGCTATATACACATTCATATTTCTTTTAGTAATTATTATACCATTGTAAAGTTAATCAATTAAAGCTTTCAAAAATTGATTCCTGCCAGAACTGTTTTAATTATAAAATCATGAAAAAAATATAATTTCAAATCGGGCGATATTTTCTGTGGGTATTGTACATACATATATATACATGTATTGATATAGTAGTTTAACGTTAATTTTTGTATAGTTAGGGTTATATTTTAGACTCGTAAAAATTTTCCTTCAAAAAAGAAGGGCAACATCGAATGATATTACATTTTTGAATAGGAAAATACAATCCTATTAATATAACTA